TGTTGTAGTTGAGCCTGTAAGTTCAGGGACGTATGAGCCATCATCGAAGCTGAACTTAAAGGTACTACAAAACATTCTGAAGGGTGTCTACAAGATCCAGAAGGATGAGGAGCTTGCCAGAGAACGTGAGGAAGAAGAAGAACAGGCAGCTCAAAACATCTCAAACTTGTTAGCAGATGATATGGAGCTTGATTTTGATGATGACGACGTACCAGTATGGCGCTCCATTGTAAACAAGTATAGAGAAGGTGATCAGGTGCTACAGAGAGAAGCAGTGAAGATTACTCATCTTTTCAAGGACAAAAAGGACAATGAGAAGGCAACAGAAGTTTTCAGTTCAGAGAGGACAGATTTTCATGAGACCTCAGAACCTCTTCCAAGGACCATGGGAGAAAATCTTGTAGAGGACTTGCTCACCAAGGATGTCGCAGAACAAGCTTTTGAGGCAGGTGAAGAAGTTCCTCCTTACACAAGAGTCTCCACTATCGCTGGTGGAATCTACACTGGTAGTATGATGTTGACGAAAGATGAAGATATGGAAGAGGAAGCCCCTGAAGAAGATCCTGCAGTTGAACTTGAGAAGGATGAAGAAATGTTTGATGAGAGTGCAGGTGCTTTTCCTTCAGAGGGACCAAAGATGGAAGTTGACCAGAAGGAAGCCAAGGAGGAGTCAACACCATACTTTCTGTCAAGAGAGATAGGTGAGGACTCAGCTGCATCGTACTTATCATCAGGTGAGAAGGATGCTAACCTTGATGATACTTCAGGTCAGCGGAAATCAAAGAGAAGCCGCCTGAATAAGATTCCTGATCCTCATTTTCATGAAGAAGTTCAGGATGATGCAACTCTTGAGGAGAAGAAGAAGGCGGTGAAGAAGATAAAAGAGGTCAGAGAGGATGATGGAGAGAAGAAATTGGAGGCCGAAATCCAAGAGTCTTTTCCATCTGAAGTAGTTGTTGATAAAGATCCTGTGGATGCTGACAATACCTATGAGTTGCATACCTCACCTTTGAGGTTGCTTGGAGAGCTTACAGGAGATCCAGGTATTGGCTTTTATCAACTATGCTTCAGGGAAACTCACGCAAGATTGCTGAACCATGTTTGTTTCAGAAAAAGTGAGATTTCCCATCCTCATTATCAGTCGAGGATCAACGAGGATGATTTTGCTCGATCCATTCGAAGTGTTTGTCCAGTACCTCCACCTGATTGTTATGAACACGACTCAGAGCATGATTTGAAGAGGTTTTTCATTAATGATGACCGCGTCAGTTATTTGGATGGCAAGTATCAGGTCGATCCAAAAGCCTTTGAAAGGGCAGAGCATGCTCGAGAAGAATTGGAGGATACGAAGAAGGAACTTAAGAAGGAACTGGAATCATATGGTCCCAAGGGACCCAGTTGGGACTTTGTCACCTTCTATGAAGAGCTGTGCAGAAGGTTCCTCAAGGGAAGAATAGAAGAACAATATGGAACCAACTTATCGGCCAGCTCAGAGTCCTTGACGGTTTTATCCTGGAACTATGGCAACATGGTTCGTGGTCAGAAGTACACCACACCAAGGTTTCTCCAAGGACTTGATAGTGCAATGAGGCCACGCAAACAGAGCGCCATGTCACTTCAATACGAGCAATTTGAGAACAACCTTTTCTTCAATATGCTCTTCTTTTTACGTGCACATGTCGTGATTCTCCAGGAAGCTCATCTCCTTGTTCCTGCCAAGGAATTCATTGAGCAAAAGAATTGGACAGTTTGTTTCAATGATTGGGAGAATCTTGCAGTGATGGCTAGAGTGGCACCAGGTGGATATGTCAAGATCATTGCTGGACATGACCAAGACCTTGGTCACTGTGAACAGCGTGATGTAACTTGGGCTATCTACGAGATTTGTTTTGGAAAAACAAGGCCTCGTCAAGAATTCAAGGATGCAGACTTTGAATTTGATGACTATGGTCCTGAGGACCAGCGTGTTCCACTTACTAGAGCGAACATGCATACCATCAGAGTCTGTAATTATCATGTTGATACACACCGTGCTGTGGATGCCCACCTACTGACAGGAGAACAGACAGCATTGATGCTTTATGAGTGTTTTGTCTATGAGGTGGACATCATTTCTGGTGATGCAAATAGTTTAGCCTACAGAATGTCTGGGTACAAAAGGCAGCCAATGGCTAACTATTATTACAGCACCATGCAGCATTGGATCCGCAGGTTTTCAGAAGCCCGTGTAAAAGCAGATCCTGGCATCAAAGCACCTATTCCCAGAACATTTTACAGTTCTTCTTCACTTGTCCTCAAGCAGTGTGAAGTTTACTTTGACAAACTCTGGGAAGAATATTCTACTATTGAAAAAGAAGAATACCAGGGATCACAGCTTGGAGATACATGTTTGTCTACCATTGTTGAATGGGGTCATTCGATGAGTGAAGAGGAATATGAAAATTCCACAGTGAGCACGAAGGAGTTCATCTGTAATTTTTCAGAGAACTTTGCTATGATTGACACGGAGGTTATGTGCTCAAGGCCCACTGACGAGGACAGTCATGGTCCAATGTTTATTTCACTCAGACCAGCTTCCTTTTCATCTGGAGACAGAAGACAGTATCGCATGGGAGCAACTCTTCATGAGGCGAAACTGCGGAGGAAGGAGAGACAGAAAGAGAATAAAAGGAAAGGAAGGCCGCCAACTTCTGATCAAGCAGCTTCATCGACTGCAGCGGCATGAAACTCAGAGCGGAAGCTAACTTTTAATGATGGCTAGGAAGTGAAGATACTTCTGATCACAGTTGATACTTTGCTTCCAGGCTTGACTTTGAGTTGCCAGGCTGAAGTTTTAATGAACTCTGGTTTGCAACAAGGAGAAACTTTTTGTCAAAGAAGATACTCCTGCATTCCAGGTTTATACGCTTTAGCATGCAGATAGGTATGGACAGTTTTGCATAACTGATGATATCTATCACAGCCGCTTTTTCTGAGGTGACCTCTAATGGACAACCATTCATGGTTGAGGATTAAGTCATTTCATAAGTTTGCATTTGTAGTGCAAGTTTTGTACATACATTTGCCGGTGTCTCCTTCCTTTTGTTTTTGGTGTCAATGAGAAAGAGTCCTTTTGATGCAGTTCCATTTTTATTTAAGTCCTGTGTATGGAAGCGGCCGAGACCACTTTTAGAGAAGAACATTCCTCGGACCGAGAGTTGACGCTCCTTGCATTTTGCAAGGCATCCTAATTCATTGCAATTTGTGCGGTCTTGAATTTTTAGTTCTTCGTTACGCGAGTGTCGTCTACTGCTTTTACAGGTCTCTGTGTAAGAAAGCCGCTTTCCTTCGAATTTAAGTTTCTTTGAAGCTCTGGCTATTTAAGGGCTATTGAGCGCCGGTACACGGTATCTTCGCCGGTGAACAATACAGTCTCCAGCCGAGATACATTGTCTTTGACTTTGTATTTGAGGTGAGTCAGCTATTGCTCCCTCACTGTATTTAGTAAACCTAGAGATTACCTTTTCTAAAGTGTGAAACACACTGGAATTGGTAAGTACAGGGCACCGTAGTTTCCTTTTAAGCTTACTAGAGCTTGCTGGACTGTTTTAGCCTTAAGGTAGAAAATAGTGTGCGACATACGCAATAGGCAGGAGTGGACATGAATTTTGTGCCTGCTGAAAGGTAGAGCCTACTTGTACAGGTTCCACTCCAGTGGCCTATCTAGTGTGTCCATGCTTGACTGCCATAAGGCTCAAGGGATATAGGATAAGACTCTGCGTGAGCAAAAGACACTAGCGGTCTGCACCTCTACCGTGTACGCCCTAGTCACTCTTTCACCCCCTCCCCCCCTCTAAAATCAATTCTCTCCTGGAGAACGTCTTCGTGAGCCTCTCATGATTTCAGGATAGTTGAAACCCTCTTGAACATTTAGAAAGAGTGAATATGAAATTCAAATCACGAAAGGTGTTCCCCGAGGGGATACATACCTAGAGTTTGTTTTGTGAAGCACGTCAATTCTCTCCTGGGGAGCGTCTTCGTGAGCCTCTTATGGTTTCAGGATAGTTCAAATCCTATGATGTTACGATTCAATGCTCACCGATGATCTGAGCCATGGGGCAAGTTTGTTTTCCTAAGAACCTTTTTGAACATTTCGAGAGCATATGTTTGAACATTTAGAGTGCATATGAACATATATTTACGAAAGGTCGCCTCCGAGGGGATAAATCACCATGTCGAACATTGCATTTTTGTTCCTGCCTCTCGCGTTCTCTTCTCTTCCCGCTGTCCTACCTTTCGTGTCTCCCTCCTCTCAAGTCTCTTTAGGTTGGAGGCCATCGCTATTAGGTTGGATGCCATCGCTATTAGTAACATAAGACATCATAAGACGTTGCATTACTTCAAGACAAGAGTGCTTTGGGCCGGCTTCCGCAGCTGTGCCTTCTTGATGGATCGTAAAAGACGGGTTTCTTCCATTCAAGGTAAAAACCGGAACTGGTGTCCTTCAGTGGATCGGTGTTTCTGATTTTGTTTATTGTTTCACAAGTCGGTTTGCAGATGTCTTTTTCCTTTACAGCTTCTGCGTTTGGACATGTTTGGACCAAGTAGTGTCACAAGGGCTGACATACTATGTACTACACTCTTGGTTCCCACTTCTTGTGGAAGCTCTCAGTAAATCTCAAGAGAGGGTTTATACTCTGTAAATCTCAGTACCTTGTCCTCCCTACACTGCATATCCCTGCATTGAGAACAAACCCTCTGGGCCTGTGCATGTCTGTGTGTTTCAATGCGCATGCATGCACTGCCGACTTGCCATGCACAAGAATCGTCATTCGTCATTTGCAGGTTTGAGGACAAAAAACAATAAGTTCAAACAAACTTCAGATGGTGAATGGTGTTTTGGTTGCTTGGTTGCCAGTTGCTATGCCTGAAGCCAATTTGGGAGGGCGTAGCATCCGGATATAAAAGCGTGCAAAGACTGAGGGCTGCGAGGGAACGTGTTTCGGTTTATTGTCAACTACATGTGCTACATGTTCACTGCTTGGCTGATTCAACTGTGCTTCAAACATAATGTTTGCCCGCAGCCATTGGATTTACAAGTTATTTGCGAATCTTTCCACGTGCCCGTTTGGCCCATGCCGGTGGTGTCAGCCTTTGTCTCATGCGTGTTCTTGTTGGCGGTGTCTGCCAGAAGACTGGAGGTGGCAGAAGATCCTGTATCTCCAGAAGCCGATTTGGACAATTGGAAAGCGTTCTTGCGCAGTAAAGATGGTGGTAACATGGGCCGTTGGAAAGCTTCCAGCGAGGCGAAAGAGATTCTCGCCACAAAGCCAGTACCAAGTTTGGAAGAGATGAAGGAATGGACCAAGTACCTGTATACGCAGGGAGGTTTTGACGACCATGACGATGCAGTTTCCAAGGCTCTAGAGATTCTGCGGAAGGACCATCCGAGCTTGGTGGAATTCTCGAAATGGTACATCTACTTCTACCACATTGTTCCACAAGGGATGGTAAACCCATGTACCGGCTTGGCCACCTTGACGCGCAGCCGACTGGACAAGTGCCTCGAACGATGGCACGGTCGTGCGATGGTGCAAGTGGCACTTGAGACTCTTGGGAAGAAACACCCCGCACTGGAGGAGTTCAAGCCTTGGTTTGGCTTCCTGTACCAGTCCGTGGGCTACACCCCGCACAGGTCGATCGAGTGGGCGATATACATGCATCATAAAGGCTCATCATTGGATGAGGTCACTCTTTGGTACAACTACTTGAAGAGTATGAATGTTGAAGACACCTTTTCGTCGACCCTGAAACTCCTTGAGAAAGAACACCCAGACTTTGAAGAGTTCAAAGCTTGGTCACAGTACTTGTCTATGGTCGGAGAGAGGCAGGCGCCGAACAAAGCCCTGGAGATTCTGGGCGCCGAACACCATCCGTCGCTCACGGAGGTGAAGGATTGGACGGATTACTTGATGAAAGTGGGCTACGATGCGCCGAAAGCCGCCAGTCTAACCTTCAAGATTCTGTACTCTCAAGCTCCTCCAAGCTTTGAAACCCTTGAAGCCTGGTCAGTCTATGTGGGATATGGAGAAGCAATTGATGTGTTGCTTGAAAATGAGCATCCAGCATTTGAAGATTTTAGGAGCTGGGCGGACTTCACAAGCAAATTTGGCCGGATCAGCCAGCGGACAGCTGGCGAGAAGGTTCTTCGTTTCTTTCGATTTGATCCAGATCTGAGCTTCAAGGAGTTCAAAGGCTGGTGCAATTGCATGGCTCGTGTTCTACCTCGTGACGAGGCTCTCAAGAAAGTCTTTGAGATTCTGATGCAACAAGATCACGCAAGCTTGAAGCAGTTCAAAGCCTGGTTGGACTACATGACAGATGTTGATGGTGCCAATTTGCCCAAGGAGGACGCCCTGCAGGATGTTCAAAGCCTTCTGAAGTCCAAACCAAATGCAAGCCTTCATGACTTCAAAGCCTGGCTCAAGTACTTTAGCCGTCCTCGAGCTGGCAAAGGCAGTCGAATGACGCATCAGCAGGCCTCTCAGAAGGCACTCGACGAAGTGTCGAGGGAGGGTCGTTCTCAACCACCAATGTAGACCGGACATGGCGAGCCGACATGTCGGACCAGACGTGTCACGAATGTCCATTTGATGGTGAGAAAGGCAGTATATGTTTCTCACAAGTTTGTTTCCTAAAGCACCTGCGAAGGGTTCTCCGTCGAGAACGGCTACCAACTTCAACCGTCAGACCATTATCATCGTCGTCGTCATCATCGTCATCACATCACATCACAAAGTGCCACTAGCGGACCTTGTTGACCATACATTTATTTGCACCAACGTTGGTGGGTGTGAAGCCATAGTCACCTCGAGACCTTCGGGTGGGAGCTCTTTTTGGTTGCTGAAGCTCACATGCTCCCTGACACGACGGTTGGATCCCGGAACACATGTCTTTTTGGTTATCACCAGAACACTAAGGTATATTCGATGAGAGGGTCTTTAGGTTGGAGGTCTTTTGGTGTCACAGGCCTCAACTTTAAAGTTGTTTAATCATATATATTTTTTAATCATACAAAGCCAATAAAACACATTGAAACACAAACAACACAGAAAATACAAAACAAATTGAAAAGAAACAAAAATATAAGTAAACAAAAAATTCTATGAACAGCTTGGGTCGCCCATGCCGTGACATTCCGCGTGCTTTGGGGCAAGGTCGAAGAAACGACTCACGGCGGCATCACCGATGACAAAGGAGTCAGAGAGAACCTCCGAGCAGCCCTCGAAGAAGGCGCCGATCCAGCATCAAATATGGAGGCAATGGTCTGCCCTGATGTCCTAGGCGTTGCACAAGCATCCACCACCTTCGTTTTGGCTGAACCGGTAGATGCTGAGGCATTGTTCCACGAGTGTCCAAAATTCCGGACGGGAAGCTTGGATGACTGCAAAACGTATTCACATGCCTGAGTTGCGAGTTTGCGCCTTTCATCTCAACTCCCATGCCTTTCAGTCAGGTATCACGGCCGGCAAGAATGCCTTAAAGATTTTGATCACGGCCGTGGCAGACCAGGTGGACGTCATCGTGTGTGATGCAAATCAGTTCATGAACCGCAACTTCCGGTCCGATCGACATTCCGATCCGGCGACCGGCGCTGTCCTCACTATCCTTGACCAGATCCTTGTTTCAGCAAACAAGAAGCGAGCAAGCGGATCACTTATAACTGGGAGGTTTCAATGAGCAGCTCGCCGCTCTGGAAGGTCAGGATGCCGATTGCGACTGCTTGCTGCAGATCGCCCTTATAATTACGGCAAGGACATGCACACGTTGCGGAGCCGGTCATCCGATATTCCGGAAGACCGTGGCCAAGTCGGTTACCAAGGCCCGCCTCGACAGAGGGAAATGACTATTAAGACAAATGAGCTCTTGAAGCAGCCTCAACCATTTGGATCTTTGTCTCAAGTCCAGCGATGAAGCTTATCATCACCCCTTTCAGTGCAACTTCACGCAGGGAAGTCGTTATAAGGTTCGAGTGCGCGGTGAAGCCTCTGAAGCCCACCGAGTGCAGAAGCAGATAGACCGAGTGGAGCGCTTAAAGCAGCAGAAACGTCAGCAACGACAGGACAGATGGTCCAGCGCAGGCTCGTCTTGGTGGCAATCCGGATACTCCTCAAGTTCCGGTTGCAGAGGCTCTCGTAACTGGTGAGCCGAGTCTGCGCAAGAAGCCGATATTCCGGCTGGTGAACTGCATAAGTTGCATATCGTAATGACCCACAAAATAGCTTGAGAGCTTAACGCCTTTAATCTTTCGGTTTAATGTTTAATGATTCGAAATGCATTCAGAAAACTTCCGATATTCCGGAACGTTTGACAGCATAGATTTGCCTTTCGTAGATTTGTATAGAATATCTGACGCAACATAGATGAGCCAGAATGGCAACTACGGTCAAGTTCTGCGAGGCCAGAACTCTTGTAATTCATTTGCACTCTTTTGCTCATGCAAGCTTTTGTACTTTAACGATCGTAAGCTTCGACACCAAGAAAATTTGTGTCTGTTTTGTATCTGTAGTGTCCTAGGTTCCCCTAGGCGTGTCTACGCTATACGTGTGTAGCGCCTGTTCTTCGTAGATAGTTCTTGTATATATATCTCTTCAGTCAGCTTTCGCTGTAATTCATTTGGCTCAAGACTTTGAAGCCCAATACCTGCACTTCGCAGCCATAGAAAAGGTGTGCATCGCTGCCGCTCGCACACCGTCGTGTCCACGTGATCTCAGATCAGGTTCAGTAAAGCTACTGCCACTTCTGGGGGAACTTACCCCTCACCCCCCCCAAAAAAAAGAGCCCCCCCTCTCCGGCTGCCGTGCCGGCGCTGTGTTGCTCTTGCCGTGGCGTCTGCGCGGCGGCTGGCGTGCTGCTGGCGGACCATGGGCCACAGCGCGTACTACTACTACTACTACTACTACTCCTCCTCCTCCTACTACTACTACTACATCATCATCATCATCATCATCATCTGATTGTGATCGTCGTGATCTTCATCAACATTATCATCGTTACATTGTGACATCTCCTAATGTGCTTTCGGGCCACCCTGTCGGACATGCCGTTTAGTTTTTTGCGCGACAGAATTTGAAACCATGTTTGGCAGAATGGACAGTGCTGCGGGGCCAATTCACAGCGTGTTTGTTGCGCAGATTGGCTCGGAGCTGCCCAGATTTCCTCATTGGTCCAACTCTGAAGAGGACAAACAGCTGAGTAAGCGGTTCCTACTCTCAAAACAGCAACGCCTCGCAACACCAGCGTTTCAAGTGTGAGTCTGTGTTATATTTCAGATTGTCAATCACAACAAAACGCATGGAAAATACTATCCACATTCAGAACTGACGGGATCGAGGTGCGCAATGTATCGCCTGCAGGCTTGCCGATCACCATGAACAGTGGCAAGCCGTACGTGTGTTTTAGACTAGAAAAAGCTTGGTTGTTGCATCGCGTCGCTCGGCGTTGTCCATGAGTTGAGGAAGGTTGTTGTTTTGATTGCCGCCTTGCGTGCGCGTGCGCCAGGTTCTCAAAGGTTTGCCCACGCGTCGTGATAGCAAACCTTTCCAGTTCTCCAATCCATGGCGCAAACAAAGAAAACATGGTTTGGATGCCGAAGCAGGCAAAAACAACTATGAGATCAATGAGACCCACAGAAATTGAAGAAACATAGCCGTTTCCATAATTCTATTCAATTTTCCTGATTTGTTTCCATTTTTTGTCTTTGTCAAAGTACAGGTCTGTCCCTGTTTGTATAGATCATGGTACAGTCGAAGAATGTTGGATTACCGTCGGAACCTTACGGTATACAGCCCCCCCTCAGCCGCATAGACAAAAGCCGTGATGAGCCATGATAGCGTGACCACAGAGGGACCGTCCTTGCCGGGTTTGTCAGTGGTAGAGGAGCTCCCTGAGCTGGTGCAGTGAGTGAACACTGCACCAGCAAAGGGAGCGACGCTTGGGAGAAACGTGGTTCGTGATGACAGCGGAGGAGAAGGGCGCGAAGAGCCTTGATACCTTTACAGGTGCTGATGCTAGTGAGTAGGAAGTGGAGGCGCCGAGCCCGGCTGTTCTTGATGGCACTCCCAACGAACATTCTAGAAAAGAAGTGGGGTGCCAAATTACTGGAGCACCTGAGCGGAGAGGCTGAAGAATTGCTGGAGGCTGTAGATGAGATCACCAAGGAGTCAGGATGGAAGCTCGTCCTTGGATGAGAAATACAAGGAAGCCTCAAAAGATGAGCTACAACGGGTGATGAAAGATTATTTCTATGTCATTGTCATCAAAGAGGGTGAAGCAGTGAAACATATCAGAACTTCATTACAAGGCTTGACACAGCCTACAAGGCCCTGGTCAGGAATGGAGTGGAGCTTCCAGAACAAGTCCGAGGTTGGATGCTCTTGAAGAAACCAGCCCTAGAGCACACTGCTGAGTCAATGGTTTTGACCGCAAGCCAAGGTTCCGTCAAGTACCAGGACATTGCGCAGGCAGTGCGAAATGTATTCCCATCAGGCAAGTCCATGAAGACAGCCAAGACCAAGGACATCTTCATTGCCGATGGAGATGAAGTGGCACCACCAGACCCAGAGATGGTTGGATCGTAAACCCTGGAGGTGATGGAGGCTATTGCGTCGAAAGCCCACAACCGTGACGACTATGACTCAGAGGGCATTTTGGAAACCTTTGAGACCTACGCCATGGTACGCCAGAAGATGAAGGAGAAGAAGGTGAGCCGTGGATATCGTCCTACGACGTCAGCATGGCAGCTGACAGGGACAATGAAAGGAAAGGTGGAGGCCCTGAAGGCCAAGACGAAATGTTACCACTGCAAATGGACGGGGCATCATCTGTGGCCGAGTCAAGCAAGGAAGTGCATGTCGTGGAATTCATTGACAGTGCAAGTGAATCTTTTGACGTCTACCAGACGGAGGTCCCCGTCAACGACGTGACATCAAAGGAGCTTAAGGACCAAGATCATGACCATGGAGTCAAGCAAGTGAAGATGAAGAAGGGCAAGGATGAGTGGCAGGTGACCAATATGAGGCCCTGATTCGACATCACCATCGAGGACGGAACGGGCTCTTTGCTCCTACTGGTATGGAGAACATCCCAGTGAAGCTAGAAGAGTTGACCGGCTCGAAAGACAGAGATCATCTCACGCAAAGCTATATCCAATATGTGGACAGGAAAGACGATCCTGTTCAGGAAGCCACCAGCGAGTGAGAAGACGACGCCCAAGCGTCCAGAACCCGAAGAAGGA